GGTGTAGGTGATGGAGGTGGAAGAAGGGTTGGGGGTGGTCGGCTATGGTGGATGGGTGTAGGTGATGGAGGTGGAAGAAGGGTTGGGGGTGGTCGACTATGGTCGATGGGTGTAGGTGATGGAGGTAGAAGAAGGGTTGGGGGTGGTCGGCTATGGTGGACGGCGTAGGTGACGGAGGAAGGAGACGTAAGGTGGGGGAATAGTGGTGAAGATGACGAGAGGACAGGTGCAAAGTGATCCCTAGCCCGTGTTGCCCCTAATCAAGTGCCCGGCTTACCGCGGGTCACGACCCCTAATCCCGGGACCAGGCCACCCTACCATACATTACTTCGTCCGAGGTTACCCGTCACAACAAAAGTGAAAAGAAACTGAACCGAACTACCGGGACTGCAGCACACACACAAATGCATACATCACCTGTCACCGGTTACAGCAAAAGGTGAGACGGGATTGGACTGAACCACCGAAACTGCGGCCCGCACATACGCACACACATACATACTTCTCATGTCCCTGGTTACAGCAAAGGTGAGAAGGGACTGCACTGAACCATCCGGACCGCAGCACCCACACCCACACACACACACACACACGCATGCACTCTTCACATGTCACCGGTTACAGCACATGTGAGAAGGAACTAAACTGTACTACCGGACTGCAGCACACACCCATATACACACATACATACTTCACATGTTACCGGTTACAGCACAGGTGAGAAGGAACTGAATTGTACTACCGGACTTCAACACACACCCACATACACACATACACACATACACACATACCCACATACACACTTCACACGTCACCGGTTACAGCAAGAATGAGAATGGACTGCACTAAACGCCCCGGACTGCAGCACACACCCACATACACACATACACACTTCACATGTCACCCGTTACAACAAAGGTGAGAAGGGACTTGTACTGAACCACCCTGAGTGCAGCACACACACAAACACACACATACACACTTCACATGTCATCTGTTACAGCATAGGTGAGAAGAAACTGAACCGTACTACCGGACTGGAGCATACACACACACACACACACATACACACTTCACATGTCACCGGTTACAGCACAGGTGAGTAGGAATTGAACTGTACTACCGGACTGCAGCACACACCCACATACACACATACCTACTTCACACGCCTCTGGTTACAGCAAGAATGAGAATGGACTGCATTGAACCACCCGGACTGCAGCACACACCCACATACACACATTCACATGTCACCGGTTACAGCAAGGGTGAGAAGGGACGGCACTGAACCACCCGCACAGCAGCACACACCCACATACACACACATACACACTTCACATGTCTCCAATTACAGCAAGAGTGAGAATGGACTGCACTGAACCACTCGGACCGCAGCACACACACACACACACACTAGTTGCAGCCGAATGACAAGGTTTGATACTCTATACTAGGGAGAAACATAGTAGCACATCACAGAACACCTTGCCACACACACATACACCAATTACAGCCAAATGACAAGATTAGAAGCAATCTACCTAGAGAAGAATCCACCGAAGTATCCCGGAGTGAATCTCACACACACAAGCATCAAGATAAGCCAAAACACCAGGTTGAAAGCATCTATGCTAGAGGAAAGTTCACCTAAGTATCCCGGAATGAATCGCAACACACACAAGTACCAAGGACAGCCAAAATATGAGTTTGGGAGCATCTACACAAGAGGAAAATTCACCGAAGTATCCCGGAATGAATCGCAACACACACAAGCACCAAGGACAGCCAAAAGATGAGATTGAGCGCATCTACACAAGAGGAAAGTTCACTGAAGTATCCCGGAATGAATCGCAACACACACAAGCATCTAGATCAGCCAAAACACAAGTTTTGGAGCATCTACACAAGGGGAAAGTTCACCAAAGTATCCCGGAATGAATCGCAACACACACAAGCATCAAGGACAGGCAAAATATGAGATTGAGAGCATCTACACAAGAGGAAAGTTCACCGAAGCATCCCGGAGTGAATCGCAACACACACAAGCATCAAGATCAGCCAAAACACAAGTTTGAGAGCATCTACACAAAAGGAAAGTTCACCGAAGTATCCCAGAATGAATCGCAACACACACAAGCATCAAAATCAGCCAAAACATAAGATTGAAAGCATCTATACTAGAGGAAAGTTCACCGAAGTGTCCCAAGATGAATCGCAACACACACAAGCATCAAAATCGGCCCAAACACAAGATTGAGAGCATCTACACTAGAGTAAAGTTCACCGAAGTATCCCAAGATGAATCACAACACACACAATCATAAATAATCAGCCAAAACACAACATTGAGATAATCTACACTAGAGAAAGGTTCACCGAAGTATCCCAAGATGAATCGCAACACACACAAGCATCAAAATCAGCCAAAACACAAGATTGAGAGCATCTA